TTTCAAAGTTACAGCACTGGTGGTGAAGGGAGAAAGCCAAATGGATGGATGGATGGATGGATGGATGGATGAATGGATGGATGGATAGGTAGGTAGCTAGATGGATGGATGGTTGGATGGATGGGGATAGGTAGGTGGACAGATAGGTGGGTGGATGGAGGGATGGAAGAATTGATTTATGGTTTGATGGATGGGGAGACAGATGGGTGGTTGGAGAGGTGGGTGAAAGGATGGGTAGATAGATGGGTGGGTAGATGAGTGGGTGCCTTGATGGATAGAGCTGGATGAATCAATAGGTTAATGGATAGATAGATGGAAGGATGGATGGATAAAGAGATAGTTGGATGGATGCATAGTTGGATGAATGGATTGTTGTATGGCTGGAGAGATGGATGGATGAATTGGTGGATATATGATAGATGAGCTGATGGACAGATGGAGAGACATTCATAAAGAGATGGGTTGATTCATGGATACTTCTGATGTCATAGTGACCTTTCCTACATGACTTCATCTTAATTCTACCTGTCTGGGACAGGTCATCAGTGGAGCCTGACTTCATTCGCTCTGGAAAGCCTCTCTGGGTATCATGGTCCAGTACATCTGTGCAGAAATACTCCCAGCACCTGGATACAGATAGAGAAAGAACTACAAGATCCTTTCCTGAGCAAAGAGGGCCAGTGGAGATGGAGCTCCAGCTTCTCCGACCTCGGGGGAAACGTTCTGTGAAGGTGGCAGGCCCAGCTCCCCCTCCATGGCCCACAGCAGCTCTCGACTGCTTTCATGGCAGAATTCCACCAGATCAAGAGACTCGGATGTCACTCCTCCCACCTCCCAGCTCATGCCACTGACAAGCAGATTCAAGGGGTCTCCGTTGCCAGGCTTCATGGAGCTAAGGGTGCTGAGCAGGGTTCTCTGTCTGCCCTGGCATCAGGCTAGGCTCAGATTATTTATTACTCTAAAGTCTAGCAGATCTTTCGATCTGCCCTTGTTGCTTTAATACACTGTTTGGCAGCATCTTTGTTTGAAACTCAGGAAAGCGCTTCAGTGAGAGAGTAGGTGACTGCAGAACTAGCCTTCCCAGCCTCTACCCTCGTGTCCCAGCGCCGGCAGTGGAGTCTACTGTGATAGGAGGAGGAGCATTTTGGAGTAGGATTTGCCAGACTGATCATATAAAGACATAGAATGCCCACTCAAGCGGAATTTCAGATAGATAGCAAACAATTTTTTTTGTGGTATCAATATTACAGTAAATGCAATATCTGGGGGCATACTTAGACTTTAAAAGCCCAACTCCCTTTTTGTCTGAAATTGCAACGTTCTAGGCATCCTGTGTTTTATTTGATAAACTCACTCTCTCTTCCTCCTTCCCCAAGAACAGCCCTCCTCCGAGAGGATTTCGCTCCACTTCTACTAAATAGATAGCTGTGAGTTCTCAAGCCCCGCTCCATCCGGGGAGCAGAGTCAACGTTCAATCCATCCACCTCAAGGGGCGGGCGTGAGGGTGGAAGAGGCAGTGGATGTACAACGCTAAGTCATCCAGTGAAAACGATGTCATTTACGTGGTGACAGTGGACACTCACAATATGCAAAGGCTGGTGCCTACAGCGGTAGGTCATTGTCTAAGGAGGATGTGGCCTATGACTGCCAGTGGATGCCTGAAACCATGGATACTTTATACCCACATGCAAGCCCTATGTGTACACGATGCTTCTTCTACCTGGTAATCCATATAGCTACTAAGTGACTAATGGGTGCAGAGGCTATACATTGTGGAGATGCTGGACAAAACGGATGACTGGCATTCTGGGAGGGATGGAGTGGGCTAGACACAATATTTTATCATGCTACTCAGAACAGCACACAATCAAAAACTTGCAAATGGCAGATTTGGGGAATTTTCCTTTTAATATTTTCAAACATAGATTATCGAAAATAACTGGAACGTTGGAAAAGTGAAACTGCGAATAAAGGGAAACTACTGTCCACTTTCAGAACTTTCCATAGGGTCCTGGCTACTCAATCCAGTCTGCCCAGAGCACAGAGGGAGAGGTGTGGCCAAAACTGGAGTTATTTGCCCAATGCAAATGTGACTGTCTTATTCTGGCGATGGAGCACAGGCAGAGCTGAGCTGGGACTCAGGCTGAGACTGGGTCCTACAAGGTTACCTTGGGAGGCCTATGCTTAGTGGAGGCGGTAGCTGGTAACCTGGGAAACCCCAGCCCTGCCCTGAGAGAGACTGGCAAGGACTGGGCCACCTGACAAAGCTCTGGCTTGCTGGCTTCTGTGTGCCCTGACCGGAAGCTTTATTGCTCATCTGCTCCTAAGACTGCGGAGATCAGCTCGGGCTCCCTGAGTCGTTTCTAGCAAAGCTGCAGGGGAGATGTATAGATGGCTGTGTCAGGGACGTGAAGACCACAGCATGTGCACACATACACACACATTCAAAAGCACATACATACTACACGTGTGCACATCGGCACATGCCTGCACCTGCATGGATACCCACGTGCATGGATACCCACGTGCATGGGCACCCACCCACACGCATACAATGCACGCACATACACACATGCACACCCACAGACATACACACCTACAGCAGCCACAGGGAGTGGAGCTGCACCTGCCGTGGCTCTCAGCAGCCAGGCTCCTGCCTCCCACTGGGAATGGTGCATATGAAGGCAGTCCTGGGGACCAGCAATCCCGTGCTCCCTGACCAGGGGTGAGGGAGACGGCAAGGTGACCTGCAGGGGGAATAGGAGGCCACTGGCAGGGACAAACTAGTGGAGCCAGTTTGAGCAGAAATGGTGGGGTCAGCAAGGGACAGCAATGAAAGTGCTGCCCTGAATTTGGGTGTAGGGGAGGGGAAGGGGCCCCTGTGGCTGAAGCTAGACCCAAGGTAGAATGAGATTGGATCGTTTTTATCTGAAATACAGGGGATTCAAAAATATTATTTTACTTAGAGAGAATGGAGGCATTCCTCTGTGGATTCCGTTCCCCAAACAACCACAAAATCTGAGGCTGGGCCAGGCAAAACTCAGGAAACCAAGAATTAAGTCCAAGTCTCCCATTGGGATGGCAGGAACCCAACCACTAGAGCCACACCTAGTGCCTCCCAAGGGCGCACAGTAACAGGAAGCTGGAACTGGGGGATGGAGCCAGGACTTCGGGAAGACACCTCTGGGGACCCCGCCCCCTCCTCCCGACCCGTATCAGACTACCTAGGCCAGTGTCCCCCACTGGTTCCCAATCAACCACCACGTGGACTGATCCCACGGTCCCACAACTGGGCCCCCGCATCCCGGTTTTGTGGCAAAAAGAAGCAGCCAGAGGTTTTAGCACCCCATTTGGCTCGGCCCGGCCGGGTCTAGGAGAGGGATTCTCCGCTCTCTCCCCACCCCGGGGTCCCCAGGATTTGACCTGGCTGCTGCACAAGCACCTGACTCAGTGGCCGGCGCCAGAGGCCGCCAAGTCCCCCGAGCAGCGGGAGAGGAGGCGAAACCAGCAGAGGGCGCCGGAGCCCAGCCTCCGCGGTGGTCCACGCGCCGCCGCCTGCTAGCCGCTGCGCTCAGGGCAATGGCCATCTCCTGCACGGGGACCTCAGCGCTCAGCCCCGCACCCAGAGGGGAGCTCGGCCCAAAGTAAACTGCTGAACGAACGAGGACAGGCCTCGGACGCATTCAGCTGGAGACGAAACGTCTCGGGATGAGGGCTGAGGAAAACCACGCAAGACCCCCACGCCTACAGCTGGCTGGAGCCCATAGTCCGGCTACCTCCTCCTACCCACACCCACACCTATTACCAGGGACCCCCGGGGGCAGCCGCTGAGCTTAGGCTTTCGCTGCTCTCCCCGATGGCCAGGACGCCCCAGGGACGGGAGCCTGTCCCCATTGCGCGTGTCTTCGGGGATTAATCCAGCCAGGCCCCAAAAGACTGAGTGGACTGCACTAGTGAGGTGGCCCAGCAAAGAAATGGTCGGCCTGAGTGGGGGCGGGGATGGGCGGCTGGCTGGACAGCGGCTAAGCATGGCCTTGCATGTCCACGTCACTACAAAAAAAAAAAAAAAACATGGCTGACCCCAATCGCATCACCTGGAGAGGTTAAATAAGAGAGGGTCGCCCACAAGGCCTTGCCCCACAACCGTCCACTTCCTTTGAATCCGGAACGAAAGTCTGGCGACGCCAACCAACAACGTCGCAAGCAAAGGGATTCTGAACCTGCAGACTCCTCCACTCCCCCGCAGCTCCACTCTGCGAATGGAAACCTCGCTGCCCGGCTGGGCTCACAGCTCACAGCCGAGGGCGCAGAGGCACAGGGAACCGTACAGGTTCTCCTGGCTCGGAGCCTCCAAGTCGGGGGGCGCTTCATCCCTCTCAGGCTGCCTAAGGTCTGGAGTGAAATCGGTTTTCCACTGCAAAGATCCGTCTCCTCACAGGCCCAGCTTTCCTCGCCTGCACAGTCAGTTTGAGGACTTGGCTATCAGAGGAGCCTCGGACCACGACTACCCCTGGAGACAAAGTGCTGGCGTTTGCTTGATGACTGTTCAGCCCCCAACTACGCACCCCGGAAAAGCCAGTCTATGCAGCCTTCCCCCATAGTCTCTCACTTTGCGCACCGGGGCCTCAGTCTCCACGTCTGCATTTTGGGAGTGAGACGGGCACAGCTGGGCGCCTGGTTGCCAGCCCCACCAGCAGAGGAGGGACCAGCCCGGCCTGGATAAGATCAAAGGGCGGAGCGCTCGAAGGCCCCGGGAGCTCCACGGGCGTGGGGGAGGGGCCCGAGGGAGGGGACAGAAAGGGGACGCGCGTCAGAGACCCCCTGGTCGTCCGGATTGGGATCCGGGCCCGCCCCTTGCTGCGCGCCCCGCCCCGCCTGGCTCGCGCCTCTAAAGCACTCGGCTCGCGCCTGCAGCCGCCGCACTTTCACTCTTCACTCGCCGCACCCGCTCCTCGCCCGGCCGCTGTCCGTCCGCCGCCCGCGCGCCCTCCTGCAGCGCCATGGACGCCAAAGTCGTCGCCGTGCTGGCCCTCGTGCTGGCCGCGCTCTGCCTCAGCGATGGTGAGTGCGCCCGGCAGCGGCGGCGGAGGCCGGAGTAGGGCTCCGGGCTTGGCGCGGGGTCGCGACTTCCCCACCCGCACCCCGGTCCGCCCCGCGCCCACGCAGTTCGCGCCGCCTTAGGGCACGGGAGCCAGAGCGGAGGTGGGAGGGTGGGTGCGCATCCGACGTCCCACGCGTGGCTCCGAGGCTTGTACTCTGCACAGAGCGCCCGCGGGACCTCCAAGAGCCGACTCTGTGGAGTGAGATTGGGCAGAACTGGACAGGAGCGCACCGATGGCGCGTGCAGAGCTGGTGCGGGAAAGTGTGATCTTGAGGGGGGGAGCCGCATTTAGAGACCGGAGCCCCATCCCCCGATTCCCTGCCGCTCACTCCCACCCCCTGGGCAAGTGTCTTCTGGCGCAGGGCTCAGATTCTGAGGCCCAGCTGTGCGCTACAAGCGCTGCAGAGCCACGGAGCGAGTGGGAGGAAGGGAGGGAGAGCTTTGCAAAGCCGGAGTATTCCCGCGTGGCGCGCGCATGCTAGGAGCTGTGAGGTCAAGGGGGAAGCTGCTTGCAGCGCGGCGTCCTCTCGGCGGGAAGCGGTTCTTGTTCCCGCAAGCCGGCGGGACTCTGGGCCCAGGCGCAGCTGTCGGGAGAGAGCGATCGGCCAAGGCCGCTCTTGTGCAGGGCTCCGTGGCCCGCAGCGACGCGGCCCCGGGCGTTCGTCCAGCCACTGCTTCTGCCGAGGGTCACTGGAGAGGCTCCGAGGGCCGAGCACGTCCCTCCCCAGCACTCCGAAACGCACCTGCAGACGCGGGCGTTTGCCACGGGCCAGCGGCGGAATGAGAGTTGTGGCAAAGTTCCATTGCCAAAGCTTTGCGCCGCTGGGAACCTCGGTGTCCCGTTTCACTGGGAAAGGGCTTGTTCTTTTCTTCTTCTGACGCTGAAGAGCAACTCGCCTCGCTGTTACAGGACACCGCGGCTGTGAAACAAAATAAACCACCGTTGCCTCCAAAAGCGCACCAAACAAAGCCAAGCTAGCCAGTCCCTGGCGCTTCCCTGGCTGCTGAGTTTCCTGCCAGGGGTCGCGGAACAACTTGAGCCCTCTGCTGGGGGAGGGGAGACGGCAAAGGCGCCCCAGGGCTTAGTGGGGTTCCATTGAACCCACCAGCGCTACCGCTTCCTGGAGGGCCGGGGGGCTGCGGGGATTCGGGTTTGAGTCTATCCAGGTCGTTATGAGCCAGGCATGGGTGGCGTCTGGGGAGTATTTTTGCTGGGTTCCGCAAATGGTTGGTGAGAGCTGCGGCCCCTTCTCCAGGAAATGATAAAGATGGACTAGTTAGTGCGTGGTGAGGATGGGAGCAGCCGCGTTCTGTTACATCTCTCAGTGGCATGGTTGCCGTGCCCAGACGACGCAGAGTCCTGGGTGCAGCTAATGGACACGGCCCCTGTGCCCAGTCTACTTCTTCTGCCTCCCAAAATGCTTTGTTCTTGTAGAGCCTCCTGACATGGGGGCGCCCTCGGGCCCCACACTTGGGGTGCATGCTGCACCACAAAAGGAGAGAGTCCTAGTCTTGTGCATGGAGCAGCCTGGGTGCCCTGGGCGGTGGAACTCAGAGCGGACCCCACTGGATTGACTGGAGCTCCAGACTGTGCTGGGGGGTCAGCTTCCTGGAGACCTCTCCTGCGGCCAAGCTGTCCAGGTCTCTCGGTCCTGGTCCTCGGTAGAGTTGGTCCCATGGACAGTAAGCTGGAGAAAGCAGAATGCCGAGTTGTCTCCGTTCACAGCACCCGGGACTCTGTCCCTTTAAAACCCTGCTGAAGCCCCGGGCCTGAGGAAGGCTTTGGGGTCCTGGGGGATGAGGGGGAGTAAGGTTAAGAAATGCTTTTGAGGGAAACGGCTAATCCCAGGAGGTGGAGGGGGCTGGAGGGAGAGAGAAAGAGAGAGAGCCTGCATTTGGGGCTATAATTTCTGCTCTGACGGCAGCTTGGTGAGTGCAGCTTTTTGGAAGATGGGAGCTGAGAGCACCCCATCCTCACTTGCACAGCTCAGCACTGGGACCACAGAGCTCATGTTGCTGGAGGGGAGGGGGCGTCTCAGCTCAGGAGGACCCAGGTCCAGGGACACCTGCAGGTTGGGATTCACAGGGTACTTTGGCTCCTGGAATTCCTGGCTGCCAGCTCCCCATCCCCCCCCCCATCCCCACAGTGAAATCCCCCAGTTTCTTGGCTCCCCTGGGACAGCCGCGATTTCCTCTGCCATGGACTGAGGCCCTGGCCAGAAATTAAAGGCTGCTGTGGACCCCCAGATTCCTCCTGGAGATTTCCAGAGCCAGGTTTACAGTCCTGGTGTGTGAGGGGCCAGGGACTGTTCCCCCGTCTTTGGGGCCAAGTCCTCTACCGCTCCCAGCCTAGCAGAAAAAGAAGACCCCCCTTAACACACTTTTCCAAAGGTGTGAGGCCTGGGACTCTGCAAAAAATTCTCTGAATTAAATGTGCTCATTCATCTAATACCTGATGAAAGGACAAATTCGAATAATCTGGGATATTCCATTGGGGCTTTGGATACAGTCTGCAGGGACAAACACACACACACACACACACACACACACACACACACACACACACACACACACCAGCCCTCCCCCACAGGACCTGGGTCTTAAAAGAGTACCTTGGAGCCCCCTTGCTAATTGACACTAATGAGACCCAATTATGGCATTTTGCAAATTGGTGAACTAGCCAGCCAGGCTGGAAATGCAATGCAATCCTCCAGTGAGGGAGGGAGGGAGGCAAGGAGGCAGGGAGGGAGGCCTTGGTTGCTGGTGTCTCTGCCTCTGCCTCCTCTGGGGGTGCTCATCAGAATGCGAGCTCTGGGATGCCCAGGTAGGAGTCCAGCGGAAGCCCCTTGTGGTTTCCAGGACCTTGAAGCAGTTGTGAGGAGGGAAGTGCGCTGGTGGGGAGAGGGCCCCCAGAGCTGCCAGCTGCCCCTCCTTGTGGCCTGAGGCCTTTTCCCAGCTGGGCCCGCTGTTTACTTTTCCTGAGAAAAGCTGACCCTCCTCAGTGCCTTGGATTGAAGCCATTCTCTCTGGACACCTGAGCCAGAGGTTTCTGATGCCTGTGTGACCCAGACTCCTGGGGCCCTCAGGGCCCTGCCTTGTGGATGGAGCCTGAGTCTGGTCAGGGCTCTCTGTGGAGTGTACCCGTGACTTCAGCCATCCTCTTCTTCCTGAACTGCCCTCTCTGTCCATCTCCTAACTGTTCCCTGCAGACCCAGGCACATCCGTGCGTCCTCAAGGCCTCGCAGGGTGTGACGTGGGCTCCTGCTGTTCCTCTCTCTTCTAGGGAAACCCGTCAGCCTGAGTTACAGGTGCCCCTGTCGATTCTTCGAGAGCCACGTGGCCAGAGCCAACGTCAAACATCTCAAGATCCTCAACACTCCCAACTGCGCCCTTCAGATTGTGTGAGTCCTGAGCACGCCCTGCAGGGCTGCGCCTCCTCAGGCGGGTGGGAAGTGCAGCGCCATCTCTTCACCGAGGGCACAGCGGCATCATAGGCCAAGCGCCTAAGCCTTGAACTTGGCGTAGTTGGTTGTGGCTGCCATAACTGCGAGCACCTGGGGTGTGCAGCCAGGATTGGATTTCAGAAGCCAGCCAGCTCTGGAGTTGGGCAGCCAGCTTGGGCTTCATGCACTGTGGGTCAGCACAGGGCAGCTGGATGGCCCTCAGCCTGGAGAATCCCAGCCCTGGGTTTCAGCAGGCTTTTCCAACAAGACACAGCCGAGTAACCAGCCCTTTTGCCATCCAGCTGGTTGCTGGCCTGTCGTGTTTTCAGTGACTTTTTGCATGCATTAAAAAAAAAAAGTCACAAGATGCAGATTCAGCTTAAATCTCCATCTGATGACACCCAAAAATACGAACACCCTGACTTGTATGTTCTTTAGCACAACATCGGGGCTTTGGTGTTGAGGACAGCTGGTGGAGAGGAGTGGTGGGGAGGCAGGAAAACCAACCCCCAAATTCACACGTGCAGGTGGCGTGGGGTTCTTGTGCCAGGGTGCAGGGGGTTGGCAGAGGTGCAGGGGGCAAGCCACATGCCAGCAGCTGTTGTCTGACCACCGGTCCTGTGCCTCCCCACCCCTGGTTTGCATGTTTGACAGGACTCCCAGTCTCGGGGGGAGCGGGGGGAGTTGCTTTCTAAGAATTCCTTAGCGCTCAGAACAGGTGCCAGTCAGCAGTGGGAGCTGAAGCTCTTTCTTAGTTTCAAGCCTTGGCTGCCTCGAAAGGGCTTGCCATTTAGAATATTTCTAGACGATGTGTGTTTCTCACTGTATCGAATTTATCCATTTATGTATTTATCTACATGCATTAGTGATATTACGTGCCAGGGGTAATAGCTGGAGGCTGAACGTGCCAAACGCCACTCTCCACTCTCGGGTCTGGCAAACACTCAACGAATCAATGGTGGAGTCCAGATTGGCACCTGAGGGTGCATGGCTAGCAGCCACACCCCTCCTCCTCCACTTTCTCAGCATGGCTGGGTCATTTCCTGGACAGGCTGCTGGAAGCCCCCCTGGACACTATCTCGAGCCTGTCCTTGGAGCCCCCTCGGGGGCTGCACAGGGCTGGCTTGCTACAGAGCGATCCACCAAGACAAGCCTGGATTGTCTCATGGGGAATCCTGGAGCAGAGGGGAGAAGGAAAGGAGTGTGGGACCATGAAACAGGACATGAAGTTGTCAACTTTTTCTCTGGGGTGTGGGGTGGTGAGGGGTGGCATTGTCTGGTCACAACTGCACCTGCGGGTATCCCCAGCCCTCGCTTGTGCCACGCTTCCTCCAGGAAGTCCGATCCATGTGCCGCAGCAAAAATAACAACCTGTGGCCGCCCGCGACTGCACCAACTCCACACCATTTTCTCAAGTCCAAGTGCATACTCTGCAGCCCTTTCCACCCACCATCCCCATCCTGTCCCCCACTTTTCTTCACATCCCCCACAACATGCTCCTGGGAGTGCCTCTTTTCTCTGGCTTTCTTTCCTTCCCCACTATCCCCTCCCTTGCCGAATTCCTCCTTGTCCCCCTTAAACTGTCCACATTGACTCAGCCGTGGAGCCTCTCCCAGTGTGCTCTGTTCAGGGACCCCAGCCAGGGAGCTGGAGTGAGTGGATGAGCAGCTGTGCCCATCGACCGTCCATTGTACACTGCCCCTCTCTTGTTCCTCCCTTCCTCCCGGCAGGGCCCGGCTGAAGAGCAACAACCGGCAAGTGTGCATTGACCCGAAATTGAAATGGATCCAGGAGTACCTGGAGAAGGCCTTAAACAAGTAAGCGCAGGCACACGGAGGACTGTCCACTAGACCGTTGAGGAAGGCTCACACCTTGGGAGAGAGGAAGGGCAAGGTTGTGGGGAGGAGGGCCTGGCCTGCATGGGGCCAGCGCGCTGGGTGGGGCGAGAGCCCGCAGCCTGCCAGCAGCGTATAGACTCTGCATATCTAGCATACGGTACGATGTCAATACTGCAGCTTATGTGTATCCTGGCCCCGGATGCCCCTCCACATCGGAGCACGGAGAACTGGGGTTTTTCTAAGCAATTGTATTATTCCAGCCAATCAGTTCTCTCCCAATCACCATCATCATCATCATTATCCAGCCTCATTTCTCATTCTCATTTATTTTTTTTTTTTTTCCCAAATCAACAATGACTTCCAGATCTGTATTTGGTTTTGTTTTGGAGCTTCTTCTTTCCTCCCCTCGAGGGTGTGTCTGGGCACAGTCCGGCGGTGGCTTCTTGACAGAGAACCTGGAAAAAACATGCCCCCTCCCTCCAAGACGTGGAGGCTGGTGGAGTAAGACTGTGGGGGTAAGCCCCAGCCAGAGGCATCTCTCCCAGGGCGCTGGCCCTGTGTTGCTCTTGTTGCTGCCTATGCCAAATATCAACCATCAGACCTGGGGGCTCCATGCAGAAGCCACGGGTGCTGTGCTCAGAGACTCCCCCTTTCCCAGATCAGCTTGCCTCGTTACTCCTCCAGCAGCATGCTTCACCTCCCCCCTGCACCCCTTTCCTGATCCTTGCCTGACCAGCTAGGAAGAGGGAGAAGCCTGGGGCTCCTGCCCTGCCTCCCCCTCTTCCACTGCCTCCCGGTCCCCCAATCCTGGACCCTCTGTGAGACCTGTCCATGGCCTCTTCCAGATTGGAACTGCCCCCACCTCTCCCAATGGGGCCGTGGGATTGCATCTTTGCAGGATCCCTTGCAAACTTAAACCTTAGAGCTTGCTTTGACCCACCGGCTCCCATGGTTTCTGTGATTGTGTCCGAAGCCTACGGACGCCTCGGCAGCTCTACTCTCTGAGGTTTTTGAAATCAGAAATGAACCAATCAATGACAAACCCTTCATCTTGCCATGTACCCCCTCCTCCTGAAGCCACAAGAGGCTCTCGGGTTCCAATCAGACATGTTGGCCCACCAGCCAACATGAAATCCCCACGCCTGGATATGATCCACAGATGGTCCTGGTGGTGTTGGTAACTCTTGGCAAAGCCTTTTTATATATATTTTTTTCATGCACATTTTTACGTTTCTTTAGAAAACAAATGTATTTGCAAATATATTTGTAGCTCAACAATTCCTATACTTGCAGTGGAGCCATATGAATGCCTGTAGTCGGTACTACCCCCAGTATCCGCAGCTACTGGCAGTTTGTAAAGAGATACGTATAGGATCTACAAATGTGAACACAGCTTGACGATGTTAGCCGCACAGTGTATTTTTTCACTTGTTCGAAGATTGTATCAAATGTGACATTATATGCACTAGCAATAAAGATGCTACTCCTTTCCTGGTATGCTCCGGTACGTGGGGGGTTTTTGTTGACCTGCGAGAAAGCTCCGGCTTGTGGTGAGCGGTGGAGCCGCCTACAGCACCCACGCATGAGGAACCATGCTGGAGCTGTACTCCCCAGCAGATCATATCTGCTGTTTTTGTTTTGATGTCTCTTTAAAAAAAAAAAAAAGGCCGGTGGAAGCAGCCGTGCTACTTGGTTTGTTTTTGTTGTTGTTGTTGTTGTTTTGTTTTTTAAGGACTGCATTTGACTCACTAATTGCTCCTCCTCGTCTCCCTCCTTCCTCCTCCTTCTCCTCCGTGGTGCTCCTAACACCCCCCATGTAATCTCCAGATAACTGAACCCCCAAGTCATAATACCCAGCTTTGCCATTTCCCATGTAAAAACTCCGATGACTCGAGCCCATGGTTAATATTGAGCTTTCCCAAGAGCAGGTGGCCTCACCCCATAAATCATTAAATACCATCCAGCTTGAATCATTTTAATGTGACAACCCTGAGCCAGTCGCTCTAATGAAATCCCGCTAACCAGTACTCTCCCTTCGACTCCAGAACAACCCCAGTCTTTGGCAAGAGCGTTCACAGGCATCCAAAGGAGAAATGGGTTGAAGCCCATGACTCCATCTTCTCCCTGATGCTCCGAGGAACCCAGGCCCTCCAGCCTCCTCCATGTTACCGGATATGGGAGGCAGAGATTGTTTGAGAGACCTCAGTGGATCCCTATGCTGTGTTAGGAAGCAAAGAGATGGGGTGAGATCAGATACCAGATTCACGGGTGGCCTTTGGGTGTGCTGTCCAGTGACGTGTAGCCACTGGGGTCAGCCTGGCAGATTGGCCACCTTTATCACCGGTCATGGCCATGGTGGGAGCTTTAGTTTGGATGTGGCAGGGTCGGCGGGGGGGAGGGGTGGTCGGAGGAGCAAATGTCCATTTTTATTTGAATGGATGGCTCATGACCAGGACTGTACCCAGGGGCCTGAAATCAAAGACAGAGTTAGAAGTGATTCTTGGGGCGATGTGAACTGTCATACAGGCTGAGATGAATTCCTGTTTTCTTTCCATGTGATTAACGGTTCTGCTAATTTTATCAAAGGGGGCGCAGAGAAGAAAAAGTGGGGAAAAAAGAAAAGATAGGAAAAAAGAAGCGACAGAAGAGGAGGAAGGCGGCCCAGAAAAGGAAAAACTAGTTATCTGCCTCCTGGAGATGGACCACAGTGCCCTCAGCTCTTCTCGGCGCTTTGTAAATCCGCTCTCCCTCCTCCAGGCAGACCTCCTGGACTGACTATCCTCCCTGGCGGTCACCCCATATTTATATGCTTTCTGAGGCCCCTCTTACTGGGCTTGGTGATGAAAGTAGATGTGCAGAGACTGGGTGAGGCCAGGCACATGGAGCCTGAGGGCTCAGGACTGTCTCTAGCACGAGGCATCTCCCTGGCTGGTAAGGCCCTTCAGCCACTCGTCCTGGAGCTGGCACATGCAGTGTGCATGCTGGTCAAGGCCACGGGCAGCTGCCTGGCCAATGCATGGGGCAGCCTGTTTGCTGGCCCAGCAGAGGGGGCTGCCTGAGCAGGAAAAATTGTATCCTTCCACCCCCTACCACCACCACCATCAGTTCCTGCATCCAGCCCAGGCCAGGTGCCCTTGTCTGGTGCTCTATCTTTCCCCGGGTGCCCACTGCCTGGCTCTGCCTCCCTGGCTGTGGCTTCCCCTCCAAGGCTGGGTGAGCTTCTGCAGACTGCGTGGGGTGAGCTGGAGGGGCTGCTGCCAATGGATGTGGAAACACGTCTCAGGAAGCCTCCTGCAGGCTCAAACGGGTCCCCACGTGGCGGGCAGATGTAACGGGGGCCTGCAGTTCTGAGAACCCCTGACCTCTGCACCCCACAACACACACACACACTCCCACCTTCTGCTGGGGAGGGTCCTCTGATGGTATACCCTCTGGCTCCGGGATACAGCTGCCTCAGTCCTCAGGGGAGAGACCTGCCTGCAGGGAATGTGGCGCAAGTTCCAGACCTTTCCTCCCCGCCTTCCCACCATGCACATGTATGTCTGAGATTATTTTGATGATTATTATTATTTTGCCAAGTTTCTTTGATTGAGCTAGGAGGATAGGGGCTACAAGGCTTAAGAGAGAGAGGGAGAGAGAGAGAGAGAGAAAGGCTGTTGTCTCAGCAATGCTTTGAACAAGGACACCTGGGATTTTTCCATCCTTTTCCCCATCTCCTATAAACAACCCCCCAAGCCCTGCACCTTCGACCCCTGGGCAGTGTCAGCAAATAGAGGTGAAGTGCTGGAGGAAGGACCCAGCGTGTGGCTGTCAGAAGCACCCTTCAGGTTCCCCATCCCTATAGTCTGTGTCCTCTATCTGGCTCCCTGTGACATGCACCTCCGGTGAGGCCCACTGTCTGTGTCCCTCGCTGGAAAGGACCTAGAGCTTCCTCCACACCAGGAACCACAGGCCTGTGGTCATGCAGTGTGGGCCATTGTCCTGCCCTTGCTGCCACGGCAGATGCCTGCCCGGGGCGGTTGTCCAGCTGGCTGGAAGCAGCCAGGTTGGCTCAGGGGCACCTTGCTGTGTCGTTTTCCTCAGTACTTGCAGAGGCTGCCCCGTCTGCGCAGTGCTATCCTGTGTCTACAAGGTCGGCTGGGGCAGCATGGGCAGCCGTGGCCCTTCAGCACCCTTTGTACCATCCTCAGTGTGCAGCGTACAGTCCCTTCTGCTCTTCCTACACTTGGGCTGTGGGTAAGGGAGGGCTGAGCGGGGCTCCCACCTTTAGGAATGCAAGCAAGCTCTGCCCAGCTTGTACGTGACTTTGCCAGGCTTCACAGCTTCTTACCAGCGGGCAGAGCTCCAGCCTGCTGAAGACAGTCACGCCAGAAGGACTGAAGAGCTTGACCTGGTTTCTGTGCCGGGCCAGGTGAGAGGTGTGTGGTTGCCATGCGCTGCCGAGCACCTGTTCCACCTGCGCATCCTCCTCTGGCCACTTGGGGCCGCTGGGAGTGACATGGTGCTAGTTGAGAGGCCCCGAGGCCAAGTGTGGGAAGTGTCCTTGGGCTGCCCTGGGACTCGCTGCCTGATGGACAAGTGGCAGGCTGAGGTGTGAGTCTGGCAGCCCTGGAGCCGGGGTGCCATTAGACCTCCTGGCTTGGCCAGGTTGTGACCGTGTGTCCTGTCGTTGTACGCCGTTGTGGCCACTGTGCATGTTTTCCATCCATGCTGTCTTGTGTCTGCCATGCCCGTGCTTGCTCCATCCCTCTGCTAGCCCTGCTGCCCACCTTCCCTCCGTCCCCCACCCCGCTCTGTCAGGCCTCTGCAGGGAGACACAGGTGTGGCAACTTGCTCGACGGCGCTGCGGGCTCGGCGGCAACCTGCCTTAACCGCGTCTCCATCTGTTCTTGCCAACAGGAGGTTCAAGATGTGAGAGGCGGGTCAGACGCCCCAGGAGACCTTACAGTATGAGCCCCGGTCTGAAGCCAGAGCTAGGGCAGGGCCAAGTGCACTCACCAGGGCCTTGGTTGCTCTTTTGTTTTGTTTTGCACAGTTTGCCTTACTCTCACCATTTGATTATGTAGCAGAATACGTACATGGTGTTTATGTTTCCTGTAGTTTGATTACCCAATGTCACTGGTGACAGATAGGAACCTAGGTTAAGTCATTATGTTACTGTCTTTGTTATAGCTCTCCCGTGGGACCCTCCCCAGGATGAGGGCTCCCAAGGTTTGTATCTTGCTGAGCTGCCCAGGTGAGAGTCTCGCCCGGCGTCACAGCCGGTGCAGGAGGGGCTTGGGGATGTTGGTATGAGCAAGCCACGCCGATGGCTAGAGGATGGAGAGCAGGTCTTCAAAGTTCCCTTGTCTGCCTCCTGCGGGAGGGTCTTCCCTGAGCTGAGTGCAGCAGCGAGCACAGAGTGAGACCAGAGCAGAGCGAGACCCACCCCTCCTCCACACCCCATCTCATCACTCTCTGTCCCATGCATCCATTCATCCATCGTCATGTGTCTGCAGACTGTCTCCATGACCTCGAAAACCAACTCGCTCAAGACCAAAGCTTTCATGTGAGCCCGGCATCGAGAACGAAGGATGGCGCTTATGTTAGTTGAAAGTACCGTGCACACCCGTGTCTTGTTTGGGATGCTGTCCATTGTCCAAGCCCTTGTCTGTGGTCCCAGCCTGCGTCTTCCTCCTGGTCTGCGTCCTTCCCTCCTCGCATGCAAAGGCTGGGAGAGGAGGTGTCGCTGGGGTCCCTGGTCCTGATTAGGGCTGGAGTGATCAGCCTTGATTTTCCCACTGGCCCGGGACTGTGGTGTCTGGGCAGACAGAGTCCAAGGGGATAAGGTTGGCAGCAGCATGGACCTCTGAGGCCGTCCGCTCTCACTTTGTCACTGCTACTTTAAACCAAGGTCATGTCTTCCTCATGCTGAGCCCAACCTTGCTTGGAGAAAAATGTCACATTTTAAAACCCCACCCATTCAGGAGGCTATGCTACACCAGAAGAGACCAATTGATTCAATCAGTTCTGCCATCCCAGAACCTTGGGGTGGACTGTCCAGGAAGCAAGCTGGAGGGCAGTTTATAGGGCTGTGTTAAAATGCCTTAAAAAAGTTTCACTTTATAAAAAAGTTAAGCAGGTAAGAGTTTTACTCATTTTGGTTTTGTTCAATCTCACTCGCTCTTTTTTTTTTTTTCCTTTTCCTTAAAGACTCTCTGTCCTTTCCCTACTCCCCCAATAAAATTAAGAAAGCTGGGGGAAGGAAGGGAAAGTGACTTTATCAAAAGAATACTATGCAGGAAGTTCTGAAAGTGAGACCATCTTGGATTGTGGGTGGTTTTCCATTTCGTACTCTGTAGGGTCGTCCTCAACACGTCTGTCAATGGGCTCTTTACGGCAGAAGGCAAACCTCCAATTTTTCCTTTGTTGAAACAGAAACTGAAAGTGTTGCAGGTGCTTTTAGAGCCCAGGGCATCCGTGGTAAAGACCCAGCCCTGTTTT